TTTCACTTGGCACATATAAGTGAAGTTATTCCTACATCGTGCAAGAATAACTTCACCTACATTTTTTAGGTGAAGTTATTCCTGCGCCACGCCGGAATAAGTTCACTCAGGCTATATAGGTGAAGTTATTACCGCTCTATGCATTTTAGATTTTCGACATTATTCCAAACTCACGATTTTCTCTACAAGTGAAGTTATTCCGCGTCGGTGTTATTACCGGGCATCTTCGAAGGGGAACTCGACTGACAGTTGGAAGAAAGTGCACGACTACGGCTCCAAAGAGTACTCAACTATGATTGTAAGGATACTCAATTTCTTCTTAAAATACGAGTTACACAGTTAGTAAAAAAAAACCAAACAATCCTCAATCATTTTCCAAACAAATTTATTCAAAATTACACAAAATTTTTCCATCATTATCTCAAAATTGTCTTCATTTTCCCAAAAAATCTTCTACTTGAGCAATTTATTTGATTGATTTCTCGAAAATTCGTATTTTACTAATAAAATTTTCTGTTAACATTCTTGATAACCTTCAATATTCCCCCAACCATAATCAATTCATTTCCCTCGAACCTCTTACCTTCCAACATACTCAATCATGTCATTTACATTTGTCAATGTTTTTTCTACTTCTTATCAAGCACAATTTTCAATTCTTTCATAATTTTTGTATCGTTCTTCAACATTTTTTTTTATTTTTTTCATTTTTTGACTCAATTTTTTGTTCATCAACAACTTTTTTTTGTTATCATTAGAGAAATTTTTTATGAATATTGTGAAGATTGCAGACAAATTTAGAAAAATGGAATAATGTTGATTTTATATTGGCAAAATTGTTATTCTTGTTGTTTTGTTGGGAATAATTTTGATGATTTTAGATTGAATATTTTTTAACAATTTTTGTTGAAATTGATCAAGTTTTTCTATGAATATTAATTTTTGAGGGGGTTAGATTGAGTAAAAGTGATATAGGGACGGTGATACTGAAAAACTATTACCTAGTGTGAAGTCACCTGAACTTAAAAACCTAGTTTGAATGCACCTAAATTATAAAAACCTAGTGTGAATACACCTGAACTATAAAAATCTAGTGTGAAGGCACCTGAACTATAAAAACCTAGTGTGAATGCACTTGAACTTAAAAACCTAGTTAGAATGCACCTGAATTATAAAAATCTAGTGTGAAGGCACCTGAACTATAAAAATCTAGTGTGAATGCACCTGAACTATAAAACCTAGTGTGAATGCACCTGAACTTAAAAACCTAGTTAGAATGCACCTGAATTATAAAAATCTAGTGTGAAAGCACCTGAACTATAAAAATCGAGTGTGAAGGCACCTGAAATATAAAAATCTAGTGTGAAGGCACCTGAACTTAAAAACCTAGTTTGAATGCACCTGAATTTTAAAAAACCTACTGTGAAGGCACCTGAATCTCTAGATTCACCCATTATAAACCTAAATCATCTCAAAGTTTGCCATGAATCGTCATCAATTTTATTCACCTTCATCACCGGCCATAATCTCCTTCAAATGTTCACATTACCTAACAAACAACCTCTCAATATCAATGTATACACAATTTTCATCCAAAATTATGTATGACAGGTCAAAAGGGATAGAAGTTACCTAACAATTGCCCATATATGTACTAAATATTGTTCGTACTTCACTCATTCATTGTTGACTACTCAGTTGAACTTTCCGATCGTTATGGCCATTGAAAATAATTTTTTCTGTCTATCTAAAATCTATGGTGATGACATTTATGATACTTTAAGGCTTATTATTACTCTTTTGGTGAGTATTAAGGCTTGTTTTTGTGTAAGCTCAATTATTCGCATTATTGTGGTTTTAATTGTCATACAAAATTGTTTTGAATTTGGATTTCAGAAGAGGAATTTGTTGTGGTATTATGGAAAATTGTTCGGATATTATGACATGATATTAATGCAAGTTGGAAGGCATGTGAAAATGTTGGTGTAGCTTGAGTGGCTCAAGTCAAGCTAGTCTCAAGTAAAGCTAGGCACAAGTAAAGCTAGACTCAAATATGGCTAGGCTCAAGTAAAGCTAGGCACAAGTAAATCTAGGTTCAAATATGGCTAGGCACAAGTAAAACTAGGCTCAAGTAAAGCTAGGCTCAAGTCAAGCTTGGCTCAAGTAAAGCTAGGCACAAGTAAAGCTAGACTCAAATATGGCTAGGCTCAAGTAAAGCTAGGCACAAGTAAATCTAGGTTCAAATAAGGCTAGGCACAAGTAAAACTAGGCTCAAGTAAAGCTTGGCTCAAGTAAGGCTAGTCTCAAGTAAAGCTATGATCAAGTAAATCTATTCTCAAGTAAAGCTAGTCTCAAGTAAAGCTATGATCAAGTAGAGCTAAATTCAAGTATGCTAGTCTCAAGTTAGGTTGGATCAAGTAGAGCTGGGCTCAAGAAAGGCTAGGCTCAAGAAAAGCTAGGCTCATGTACAGCGTGGCTCAAGTAAAGCTAGGCTCAAGTAAGGCTAGGGTCAAGTAAGGCTAGGCTCAAGTAAAGTTAAATTCAAATGTGTTGATGAGCTCATGTCACTCCAACATTCCAAAAATTATAAACCTAACCTCAAAAAATTAACTCAATAAATCAATAACTTTCATCAAAATCTACTTCCAAAATTCCTCATAACTTTTCATCAAAAAAATACCCAAAAATTAATTGATATCATTGCCTGTCTCTGTCATATCTCTAAAATCTATTCACAAAACTTCATCTCTATTCATGCCTATCTCGATGTCTTTTGTCTTTGAAGATGAAAATAGAAAAAAAATATATGCAAACCAAAATTGATGATTTATTGTTATTGGTTTGGATTAAATTAGGTTGATTGTCAATAAATCGCCTCACTTGAATGTGCTTGTGTGTGTACAGCAACAATGATAGACGCATGAAGAGATGGAGATGGAGGAAGAAGAAGATTATTATTAAGTCATTGAAGTGCTATTAGTGTCGATTTCGCATAATCGTCACAGCTGGAAATTAAAAAAAATGATAAAAGAGTCGAGATAAAAATAAATGACTTTGAAGCTTGTAGTTTTTTTTTTTGGGTATGAAAAGATGAAATGGTTGTAGATTGAGATTGGCAAATTGATAGGTTGTGATATGACAAGTTTGTGACTCATTCGAGTATTTTTGGATTCATGGAATTTATAAAAAAAATAATGTTACTAATAAAGAACGGCCTTTAAAAAGCTTAGTCTTAAGGACCCTCAGCTTTAATGACGCTTAGCCTTAAGAACGCTAAGCCTTAACAAAACCCAGCCTCAAGAACGTTCAGCCTTAACGACACTCAGTCTTAAAAACGCTCAGCCTTAAGAACGCTTAGCTTTAAAGAAGCACGGATTTATTAAGTATCAGCCTATATGATGCTCAGCCATAATGCACTCAGCTTTATTGACGCTCTGCTTAGTGACGCTCAGCCATAAAAAAGCTCAGCTTTAGAGAATCTGCTACATTTACATATTTTCAATTCAATGCTCTCATCGCATTTGATTTACTGACCATAAATATGCTTTTAATTATTTCTCAATCATTGCAGTCATTAAAATGAATAAAAATTGAAAATAATTCTATCTTAATTAATTCTGAGCGAGCTTAGATCGTAACAAAACTTCAATACGAGATAAATTCATTAACCTTAACTTGTAAGTGTGACGATAATAATTCAGTCATAAATAATAATGAAAAATAATGAGTAATTTTTTGTTATTTTCTATTACGAGATAAGTTTCATTACGTACATAAAGTTTTATTGAAATTAATAATTAATTCATCGATAGCCACACTCTCAAGCTTTATACTCATGACCGTAAAGTGTCTTAATCTATTAAACGGAACTTTTTATACAGATAATGTTGTGCATGTGTGAAGTGTGAGTGAAGTTTGAGTGATTTTTTTTTTTGGTAATTTATTGTGTGATCGGAGCGTGAAATAGTCAAAAGGTTTTGAGTTTATAGATCTGAAGCTGAGCGTCAATATAAAGCTAATTGCAGTCTTAAGCTAAACGTCAGTCTGAAGCTGAGAGACAGTTTGAATCTGAACTTCAGTATGAAGCTGAGCGTCAGTATGAAGCTGTGCGTCAGTATGAAGCTGAGCATCAGTATAAAGCCAAGCGTCAGTATGAAGTTAAATGCCAATACGACGCTGCGCACCAATATAATGCTGAGCAACAGTCCAAAGCTGAGCGTTAGTATGAAGCTCAGCATCAGTCCAAAGCTGAGTGTCAGTATGATGCTGAGCGCCAATATTAAGCTGAGCATCAATAGGAAGCTAAGCGTTAGTGTGAAGCTCAGCATCAGTCCAAAGCTGAGCGTCAGTATGAAGCTGAGTGTCAGTCCAAAGCTGAACGTCAGTATAAAGCTGAACATAAATAAGCAGCTGAGCTTCAATTCAAAGATAAGCAGTAATCTAAAGTCAAGTGTCAGTCAAGTTAAGCTAAGTCATTATTCCAGTCATAAACAATACTCAAATCCATCTCAATCTCCATATCTCATTAACATGTGTCACATAGTAACTCTGATATTTACGACTCTAGTCCCCATCTCTTTAAACTCGAAACATCATTATTATCATGTCTTTTCTTTCATCACAAGCTCAGCTACTTAAAGAGATTTATAAGAGAAATGGAGAGTCAGCTGACGTCAACTGATAATTTCATTAACAACTTACAATATTTTTCCTCTCTAGATTTATTTCTATTTTCTCAAATGATTTATGAGAAATTGTCACAATCATGATTATAATCTGTGCCTTTAGATTCCCAAGCTATAAATTTTTAATGTCGGCATATATGACGGAGATCAAGCAAGTATGAGGATGTTGTCGTCAAAAAAAATTAATTTTCTCTTCGACTAGCCAGAAATAATTAGATAATTAACAAGCTGTACAGCAGCTTAAACAGTAGCCACGACTTAATTGCTTGCGACATGACGAAATTGAGGTCGTTTAAGGTTTTATCTTTTACTTACCATTAAGTTTTCTCATTTCCTGCAACTTTGAATATTTTTTTTTTTCCTTTAAAAAAATTTTCTGACTCAATTTAGTGAATTTATGGCCATAGAATTAACGAAGCTGAGCCACTCGACTCGTTGGCACGATGACTTGACTCGAATGTAATTTATAAGTGCGGGATTCTGGCTGTTTTGCAGCATTAAGTTTAGCAGTTGGCAAGGAAAATCATAATCAGGATATTAAATCATAAGTTTGCAGGCGGGGTTGTAATAAGGAACATGAAAATAAATAAAATAAATAAAAAAATAAAATTAAAATAAAGTTTGAAATTATAAATATTTAAAATAAGATTAAATGCTTTAAAAAAATTCTAATTTTAAATTATAAAAATATTAAAACATTGAAAAAATTAAAAAAATATGAAAAATTCGAAAATTGTTTAAAAAAATTAAATCAAATTTAAATAAGTCAAAAAAAAACAAAATTAGAAATCTTTTTAAATTGTTTAAAAATTTAAAATTTGAAAAAAATTTACAATTTGGAAAAATTTAAAATTTGAAAAAATTTGAAAAAATTTGAAAGAATTTGAAAGAATTTGAAAAAATTTGAAAGAATTTGAAAAAATTTGAAAGAATTTGAAAAGATTTGAAAAAAATTGAAAAATTAAAAAATTTGAAAAAATTAAAAAATTTGAAGAATTAAAAAATTTGAAGAATTAAAAAATTTAAAAATTTGAAAAGATTTTAAAAAATTTGAGAAAATTTTAAAAAATTCAAAAAAAAGAAAAAATGAAAAAATTTAAAAAATTTGACAACATTTAAAAAATTTGAAAAATTTAAAAAATTGAAAAATTTGAAAGGGTTTTAAAAAAATTTGAAAAAATTTGAAAAAATTTAAAGAATTTGAAAAAATGTTAAAAATTTGAAAAATTCAAAAAACTGAAAATATTTGAAAAACGGTAAAAAACTTAAAAAATTTGAAAAAATTATAAAAATTATAAAAATTTAAAAAAGTTGATAAAAATGTTTTAAAAAACTTTATAAAATAAAAAGATCAAAAAACGCTTTAAAATTTTAAAAAACTTCAACAATTTAAAAAATTAAATAAATCAGTCACCAAATTGAAACTAAGGCAATTAAACGCAAACCAAATACGCAAAAACAGAAGCGACAAAATTTTTTTTTTATCAGCGTTGATTAGCAGTTCACTGAAATAATTGATGAATCGATTGAGTTGTTCGCAAGCACTTAATGAAGTTGTGTCAAATTCGATATGCCAATATTTTTTCTATCAATTTTAAATAATATTTTTTTATGCTTCCGGTTGTATTTTGTACAGTTTTTAGTATCAAAATTGGCAAAAAGTTTAAAATAATTTTCTGCTTCAGAATTTCAAGTGATGCGAAAAATTGACCCAAATTCTCTCAACAACCTTCATTAATTCTGTATAACCTCTTAAAGTGTCTCGAATTTAAAGTGAAAAAAATGCAACATTTAACGCCTCTGTTAAACCTCCAAAAATGTTTTGAATCCCATGCACATCGGTTTTATCATCGACTACAATGAATTGAGATCCAATATCGTTCAATAAATTGGCAATAATATAACATTGTAAGACTTTGTCTTCGAGATTCCATTCTGTGGTTTTGGTGGTCAGGGTTGGTGATATTTTGGGTTAAGATAGCTAAAGATTGATGATGCAAAAAACTATGAAAAAGGTACAAGATGCAGAAAATGATGCAAAGTACCAAAGATGCAAAAAGGGATGCAGATGATCAAAGATGCAGAAAAAGATGAAAATGATTAAAGATGCAAAATATCAAAGATGCAAAAAATGACGCAAATAGATCGAAGATGCTGAAAAGTATGCAAAATATCAAAGATGCATAAAATTACGCGAAATAACAACGATGCAGAAAAAATTTCAAAAATGCAGAAAAGGATGCAAAATAGCAAAGACACAGAAAATGATGCAAATAGTTCGAAGATGCAGAAAAGGATGTAAAATATCAAAGATGCAGAAAATGACGCGAAATAAGAAGGATGCAGAAAAGGATGTAAATAGTTCGAAGAAGAAGCAAAGGATGCAAAATAGCAAAAACGCAGAAAATGATGCAAATAGTTTGAAGATTAAGAAAAGGATGCAAAAGATCAAAAATGCAGAAAAGGATGCAAAATATCAAAAATACAGAAAATGACGCGAAATTACAACGATGCAGAAAATGATGCAAAATATCAAAAATGATGAAAAAACCAAAAGAAGCAAAAATAGACACAAATTCAACTTGAGCCCAAACCACCACCCCTGCTTAAAACATTTTAAAAATTTTTGATATAAAAAAAATTATGACTATCGTAAAATAAGGAATGAAATACAACACAGAAGAGCATCAGTAAAAAGAAGAAGACTCACAAAAATCGAACAGAATAAGTAAAACTTCTGCAGCAGAACACAAAATAAAAGATCAGAACGAAATGTGAGACTGGAACAGACAAGAACTCGACGAGGAAGAAAGAAATAAAAATTTATGGATTCGATGATAAAAAATCAATTAAAAATTTTTTTTTCTTTCTTGTTAATTTTTTTATGCTTTTTGTGGATTTTTCTTCTTTTCGCTATTAAAATTATAGTTTTTTTTTATTTTTTATGAGCTAATTTATAATATATTTTATGGGAATTAATTTTTTTTGTACCGTTTTTTGGTGGGTCGTAAAATGATGAAAATGTAAATTGAAAATTTGTGCAAATTTAGTCTTTTTGTTGACAGTCTGGGTGGGTTTTGAGAGGGAATTGAGTTATTAAGAATGGATTTTACAGATTTTTGATTATCATTTGCTTTGTCTAGGTTTGTTTGAGGTGTCCAAATGGTTCAAGTGGGTCTAAGATTGATCAAAAAGGTTCAAGCGACTCTAAGAGGGTTCAAAAATGTGGTAAGGGTGTTCAAGTAAGTTGATATTATTCCAAATAGTCAAGAAGGGTGCCAAAGGAGGTTTGATAGGATTATTAAAGTCAATGGAAGTCTAAACTTCTTTTTGCTTGATCTTAAATTTCATTAAAACTTAATCTTCTTTTTTTAAGGATCAGAATGCCTTAAAATATGAATCCAGAAGCTCCACTTCCTTCCTTTTTTGAGATCTGAGCCTCAATCAACACGCACACATACCTTCTCACTCCCAACAACATAACATCTCACCCATAAAGTTCAATAATCAAAAACTAAACTCTCAGATTCCAAAAATAATAAATTAATCAAACTTTTTTTTGTTCAGACAAAAAATAAAGATAATAAAAAAGGGAAAAGAATCATAAAAAAAACTCAAAAAATGAAGAAGTTGAAAATTGTTTTTTAATGAATGAAAACTTTTACAGCTCACACAAAAAATAAGCCACAAAGATTATTGAAAAATGGATTAATTGAAATGAAAAGAAAAAGAGATAAGGAATAAAATGAAGTTTTTTTTTGTGGGAATATAAAGTTGGGATTAAAGGGTGCTGACTGCAATGTTTTGGTTTTTGGGAATTTAAGAGTAGGAGCAGAGTTTTGAGGGAGTCGCAAGGTTCAGCAAGCTGTCATTTTAACAATTCTTGTGTAGATGGTCTGAAAATTGTAGTTTAAGCCCCCTTATATATATATATATATATATATATATATATATATATATATATATATATATATATATATATATATATATATATATATATACATATATATAATAATGTGTGTGAAGGGCCCAGCCTTTCAGCTGGAGGCAGTGCGATTCAAATTAGAACAGAATCTATTGTACCACACCCTTTAGATCTACAGTTTATAGTGGGATACGAACCACTTGCAAGCTCTGTACATTGCAAAGACACGAGTACGTCATAAGACCTGATGTAGCCTGCAATGTACCTAGTCACAATCCGTGTGCGCAAGATGCCGTAAGGAAGTCATTCAGATGCTAGTATATCCTTGTATACCTAGCAAAGGAGGCATATTCTATGCCAAAGACATCAATACTACATCCAACACACGAACCGAGCTTCGTAACTAGAACGGTGAAATGGAAAAAGAGCTTCGAAAATTACCATTTAGGTCACTGATGCCATTTCACCGATAAAGCCCCCTTAGAAGCCCTGTCTTTCTTAAAACTCATCAACCAACACTAATCTAACCTCAAAAAATTCCCTAACTTGTCCATAAATCTCCAAACCAATCAAAAGCAATAAAAACTTAAAAATTAAATAAGTTAACGATTTTAACAAGACCTTGACACCGCACAGTCCTCGGAAATGATGAAAAAAAAGTAAACAAAAATGACATTGGCAAAATCGGCGCGCAAAAAAAGCTAATAAAAATAATTAAGTGGCATGATAATTGAATAAATGAAGACATTGATGAGTTAATAAGCCTGAATGTAGACTTGTGTTGAGTGTCTGGGCGATAAGTTATTTTGAAGGAGTCAATTTTTGGGGGCATTGAATTGATAAATTGAATTTTTGAGTGTTTTTGGATCTCGAGTCTGGTTTTTTTTTGGAGTTTTTGGATATTTTGCCAGAAATTTGACAATGATAATTGACCAGATGTTAGTGCTCGAGCAGCTGATAGGGATTAGAGTGGCACCAAGCCTTTCAGATGCCAAACAACCTCTGGATCTGAAGCTTAACGTAAAATCTTGTAAAATTCAACTTTTAAAGCCTCTAAAACTAATCAAAATCTATAAAGTTATGTCACATAACCTCAAAAAAAAAAACATCTTCAATTCCAAACAATAAAAACCATCAGAACTTCCTTCTTGACCATTCTTTAGATCACAAAACATTAAGTCCATAATTAAACAATCAATTCATCCATCCACCTTGAAATCCGAGATTCACAAATTACACAATAGATTCTTCCATAACAGCAATGCCCGATGACATCAAAACGTAACTCAACAATTAAATAATGCAAGTAATTAGCAGCAAATTCTATGACTTTTTAATAATTGATACAGGAAAAAACTTTGTCGCAACGGATTACGATGACTTTAATTGCTGTGTATTGAGAAGGCAAAAAAGTTGAGAATTAAAATTTTAAATGACTTAATGAATGAGCGACTTAATGAGCTAGGTTGAGATGATGTTGATGTTGTTTTCGGGGGTTTTGGGGGTATGAAGTGTTTTGAGGGGTTCAGGAGAACCATTATTGAAAAAAGTAGACTTATTTAAGTTTGAGGGGCTTAAACCAAAACTCAAACACTTCAACTGGATTTTAAAGCATGAAACTTTAGAAAACTGCATTTTTAGCGGGGTAACGACATGATGGGAAAAGTTTTGATATGAAAACTTTTATTTGCTCTCAACTTCTTTTGCACAATCTCTTTTCTACTTCTAAAGACAATTTAGGTTAGAAACGGTAGATAATTGATTAGAATCCCTCATCTAAATCAATGCCCATCATGTTGTTACCTCCCTCAAAATTAAATCCATGTTGTTAAAGCCTAATCAATCAAAATGATCCTCAAAATCGTCAAAAACTGTAAAATCTAACCTTAAAATTCCAATCAAACTTTTACATTCCTCCACTTACTACAACACCCCCCCCCCCCCCCCCCCCCCCCCTAATCCAAAAAGCCATAAAATCCCAATTTTAATATCAAAAAACCATTCCTTTTCTCACATCCAATACCAATAAAAATCAAGGCTCAATCTCCAAAAGCGATCAAACTCAATCAATTTCATTTCCAATTTCAAGCCTTAAAAAAACTTCCTTGTAAGAAGAAGGCAAGCTAGAAATCATAAAATTTAAAAAGTCATAAAAATAAACTATTTTGTTATTTTCAGCCTCGACAAATTCCTTTCTACGAAGTAAAAGTAAATAAAGTGAAAGACAGGCAAAGCAAAAGCAAAGAGAGAAAAGTAGAAAAAGGGCAAAAAAAATCAATAAATCAAAATCGATGAATGTCTTCTTATCACTAAACTGTCTCTCACTTCTCGTTCAAGCGTGGGTTTCTGTTATTTTTATGGCTATTGAGTAAATGTTTGTGTGTGTATCTGTGCTGCTCGATGGAATTGTCGATGTGTGGATGATGATATTCATAAGTTTATTTATGGAGATTGCTTTCGAGTGGATTTTTGAAGAATATGGAAAATTGTTCTTATAAGAAGAGTTCTAGATTGATGGATTTGATGGATATTTGCTCAATATGTTGCTTTATGCTAGCTTAGAGGACTGTGTAGAGCTGTGTAGAGTCTTAAAGTAACTTATGGTATTGTTTTGAGCTTTATTCTAGCTTAGGGTACTGAATAGTGACTTAATCTAGCTCAATGTACTGTATTAAGTCACAAATAAGCTCTTGGTACTGAATAGAGCCTCTTTGTAGCTTAGGGAACTAGATAAAGCATTCAACTAGCTTTTAAAAACTGTAAAGAGACTTAAACTAGAATAAAATAACTGTAAAGAGACTTAACTTAGCTCAAGGAACTTCGAAGAGACTCATAGTGACTCAGGAAACTGCATAGAACCCTCAACCTAGCTCAGAATACTGAAAAGAGTCTTAATCTAGATCAAGATACTGTTTAGAGCATCAAACAAGCTCAGCGATCTGAATAGAGCCTGTGCTTAGCTCAGAGATTATTATAAAGCCTTAAACCAGCTCTGAAAACCTTAAAAATACTAGAACTAGCTCAAGATAGCTTAATGGAGTCTCAACTTAGCTTAGGATACTCAATTTAACCTCAATTTAGTTCAGGTAACTAGAGAGAGACTTAATCTAGCTTAAGATACAGAATCGAACCTCAAACAAGCCTTATTTAACTGTAAAGAGCCTTAATCTAGCTAAAAATGGCGTTAAAAAGCTTCAATCTAGCTAAATAGATCATACTAAGCTTCAAAATATTTCAAAATACTCCAAAAATCAACAAACTAGCTCATAATATAGCCCAGCAGCCTCCTAGGCAACCCATCACATACCAAACCACTCAAATCAGCTACAGAACCTTCATATCACCCCAATACATTCCTCATACCACTCAGCAACCCCCAAACGATATATTTAGAAAAACTCGACATATTCTTCATTACTGATTTTTATGATTCTATCGATTTTTTTTACTAAATTATCTGCAGTTCATCACCCTCGACATTACGTTCAGTCACAATGATTGATTTTTTTTCTCTCTCTTTTTACAGCTTTTTCTGTACAAAAATTTACTGCCAAATGGTTTACTTAAAAT